TTTTTTTTTTTTTTTTCCATGTAGCATTTTAAAAGGAAAATTGTTTTTTACCTCTTGGCTCAGTCCCCAGGTAGTAATCGATCAAATATATTAATATGAAATCATCAAAACTCGATGAATAGATCACACAAATCTTATTCCTTTTAAGAATCTATTGTGTCATTCATAATTTATTCATTATAAGATAATTCTACTGAAATTAATTTTTGTAAATAAAATAATATTACGAAACCTTAAATGACATTATCTAGTAAGTGTCAAGTGATTCATCAACTCTAAAAAGTTGATTTGACATATATTTTGAAGAAAAATTAGTAATTGCATAGGATACTTACCATGATTTGACAAATGTTGAACATAAGCTAGTAAGTATCTTAAATGTCCCTATTGTAAAAAGCTTTTTTATATAAAACTAATCAAATCAATCCAATCCAACCCAACCCAGTAAAAATGGATCCAAAAACACCAAAACCAACCCCAACAAAACATAGAGCCAAGCAAGTGGATTGAGAGGGACAGATGGAAAAAGCTAAGACAAAGAAACAAGGTTTTCGATATAGATTGATTCGAAATCTGATTCAAATCCAATATAGCACCTGTCGTTACATAAGAAATCTATTGCATCGATTCTTTTGAGTAGAGGAGAATGGAGTTTTCTAAACGTATCTTTATCCTCGACTTTGAGTGCAATATATGATCTTTCAACTTATCCAAGTCATCTTAAGTGCCAAACAAACTTAGAATCAACAAAAGATCCTTAGCATTACATGTTCTTTATATTAACTAGAAAGTTGAAAAAGAAAGGTGAAATTCAACATGAGATGAACATTTATTTAGGTTCTAGGAGCAAAGCCTCTTAACAAAATATTGTATGCATTTCAAGAACTTCTGCCAAGTTTTACAAGTAACACCCAAGCAATTCAATGGGCGGGACAAGTTGAGATATGTTGTTCCCATTTAGATTGTTTATTGGTTGTCCATCCATAAATATTTGACACATCAGCTCTTTTTAACAAACGGGAAGACGACATTTCAAAGATAATATCACTTGTAGTGAACTGTATTGATGTTCTTTCGTTTTCTAATAATAGCAGATGTGCTGAGGTGTCAAACATTCAGTAGGAGCAATAGATCTCAACTCGGGTAGGATGGGTCAGATAGGAAGATTAACCATAGCCCTGAAAATTAAAGAAACAGCCCAAGTAGAATCAACTAATAATATCTAGAAGACATGTACCCATGAGTACATTAATCAATTGCTCTTCCTCCACACATTCTTTTCCTCCTCTCAACCTCAGAATCTAACTCGTACAACTTTTGATTTAAGATATTTCATCAAGCATGATGATTGAACTCAAAAGTCTGCAGCATTGAATTGTCACATCATACAAATGTAAGCGGATATTTTCATAAAAAACATTCAGCCGAACTCTAGTAGATTTATGTAAATACTCAACTTAAAAGCTCGTAAATAATCGACAGCAAATACCTATTAACAGAACTGCAGAAGACACTGGTACAAATCTTCTATGATACATAGGTTAAAAAGCTGGGAAAAACTTGTTGAGTTGGCCTGGCAATTTATAAAATTCATTGTTCCTAACATCTTTATTATACACCATAAACCTCTCCCACCAATAAGCGCCATTATCCTTATGCGCTCCATCGCTGCCATGAGGAAGACTGCAATCCAACACGAGAGCGATTAAAGCAGCCACAGTCGCTTGTGACATGAAAAGGACGCACAGTATGTCGTTGAACTGCAAATTCATCGAAGGAAACACAAATAAGAAATCTTAAATGTAGGACTATCGAATATTTATGAGAACGGCTTTACACATACCCATGTTGCATGAGTGTGGATAGGACCAGTCGTAGAATGTAGACGATACTCTCTGAAGTATTGTGATAGGGATAGCCCCAAGAATACGGAAAATCCCAATACAAGCTTTGTTCTGAAATTGTTTAGGTTACAGAATTGGAGAAAACCAAGTCCTGCAGATGCTGCATGCAACAAGATCGACCAGAAAAATTACTGCAAAACATACTGAAGAAAAATCGAATTGACAGTATAGGTACATACCAACATAACCAAAGCAGATGCAGTATATTCCTGCCATAATTGGCAGAGGGATTGCAGCAAAAACTGCTCCAAATTTCCCTGTTCGATCATATCATGAAGTCGATGTTATATTAAAATTCCATCCAATTTCAAAATCTAAATTCTTGAATTTAAGGGTGATATTATTAGTGCCAAACAACAGTTGCATAATCAAGACCCCCTTGTTTTTCTGCAAAAAAGTTGATCGACTGAGCTAATGATTAAATATGGAGTGTATATTAAGAGAAGCCTAAAATACCTAAGAAGGAGAAGAAAATCATGAATGCAGCTGATATTTGAACAACTCTTCGACTTCCAGCTTTTGTCAAAGCCAAGAGACCTGCATTTTCTCTGAATTCGTCGTGAACTCTTATTAAACAGAGTTATTGAAGAAACAAAATTTCGAGAGAAATTGAACGTTAAACACTATTCGCTTGTTCGGTAAGGTGAAATCTATCGTACTAGACAGCATTAGAAAATAAAAAGAAGCTAAAATTATGTACATTACGCTATCCAACATAAAAGGCATTTGTTCTATGTATAAATATATTTTATCAGGAACTTGTATGGGAAGGTTGAGTTTCTTACGCTGTTGCAGTAGCACCAGTGACACTGCCAAAAAGGCCATTAAGCAAAGTCCCGACCCCCTAAACTCAAATATATATTAGTACTCCGAAGTGTTATTCTTGAAAAAAATTCTATTAACGTTCTAATGAGAATCAAATACAGAATCTATTCTTACCAGCCAGCCTATACCACGGCTAATTACTGAAGGTGGAACTGGTGTAGCGCTACCATATCTTGCTGCTGCAAGATACACTCCGGTAGACTGCAATAAATCATTTATTTTTATTAGTTATTCTTATTTTCATTTAACTGGATTTGCCAACAAAATTTCATTTCAGTTATGAAGAACAATGAAAAAATTTCTCTGCTATTTCATTTTCGTAATAAGTTCATAATTTCATCAGAAAAAAGCCAGATGCACCATACATGCTCTTAGTTTAACTTCGTAGACAAACGAGAATTCAAGATTACATTAACAATGTAGGTGTAGACCTCAGTTGAAGCGACAAATGAAGCCATCACGGTTGCAAAAATTTCCCCGGCTCTAAAAGTAGGAGGCCCCCATTGGAATGGGGACGGAACATATATCCTGCAGGTGCCAACAAGCGATATCATAAGATCCAATAGTGTAATATTTATCCTGAAAAAAATGGCAACTAAAATCTGCAACAAAATTACTTTGCTGAACAATCAAATATAATTTAAAAGCAACGAATTCGAATGCTTACAAAATCTAGTAAAATGGATGAATATACACTCAGCTTGGAAAACAATTTATTCAGATAAAACCTACTGATGAATGTCATAGTGAAATAAATGGAAGTAAATTGGTGTTGACAATGATACCAAGGAGCTCCACTGATTAGTCCAGAGCGATCAGTTCGACAGCTATCTTTTGAAGGTTTATGATAAGCACCACTCCAAGTTAAAATTCCAGTATAAATCCACACAATGGCAACAGAGAATAGCACCGCAAATCTATCACATAAAGGCCTCTTTAATTTTATGAATCTCGGAAGATACTGCAAGAAAAATGGAATTCCGAGTATCATGATAAAAGAATAATACTCTTGTTTCTCCATGAATATAAGATGAGGCAGTGAGTTTTCAGTTTTTGTTTAAAGGCTCGTCTAGCCAGTCATATTGCACTAGGTAGTTATACGATGACAATTTGAATCCTAATCCCCGAGAAAAACGTAAAAGCTACCAAGTTGAGGCATGGAAATTAGATAGATGCTTAATTACCTGCGAGATGATAATCATGAATACCAGTTCTGGAATCCCAACTTCAACACAGTTTGCAATCTATAAGATACAAATAAATTATGTAGTGAGGTACAGAAACTTGTAAGTTAAGCTGCTTATGAAGATATTCAGTGGAAGGATATAGAACTCTTACCAATGGGAAGCCAAGATGGTACAACCCGAGACCAGTGAAGAAAACAAGTGGAACCATAGAAAGAGGACTAAAAAGCCTTAAACCAGAGAAATAAAATGTAAGTATGAGTGAAATTGCAACAGCAAAAAATGTAAAAATTCACTTCTCAAATAACAAACCTGACTATGTTCCTCCACAAACCGATAAACCCGATGATCATTTGGAAACACGAAGTAATAATCAAAGCACCTTGTATTTCTCTCATTGTCTGTGCAAATCTCTGAGAAAGCAACCAGTTTTTAGGCCAAAAATAAGGATAGGGATACACATAACACTAAAACGATAAATTGCAAACACCTCCTCAGACTGATGTATCATTTGATATCTTCTGGAACGAAGAATCGTAGTTACAGGAATCAAGAACGCGTGGGAACCGCCTATTACCACTGGCAATCTCGTGCCGAATAAGGAATGGAACAGTGTATTTACTCCTGAAACAAACAGTAATGTTTGTATCACCTTAGCCTTCTCTTTCTGCAATGCACAAGAAAATGTAGATTGGTTAAAATTACGAAAAAGGAGAGAGTATCAAATGAAGAGTAAATAGATTCTTACATCACTACCACCCATTTGAGGAACTGTCATACTTGGGATCAAGACTATTGAGCCAAGACTCAAAATATAGTGCTGGAACCCCAAGAAAATAGCTTCCACTGCAGTAATAACAAACGAAGAATTATTCTCAATAAATTTAGAGCCGACTGCATTTGTTGACCAAGGGAGAGAGGGAGAACTAACATAATGGTGGTGGACTGTTAATGCAGTATTGGACACCAGTAAGTTGCTCTAAAACTGGATGTGGCTGTGGCTGTTCAGGTTGGTTAGCTGCGGCTGCATTATTCCCACTTTGAGCCATTCTTCAAGATTTCAAACTTAGAAATTTCTGGGTTTACTAATATCGTGAGTTTAAGCTTAGAAATTGTTTACACTACAGACTTTTCAGAAAGTGATAGTGCAAGATATAAAATGTATGCTCTTTGTATAAAAGAACTAGAAATTTATTTTGTTGCATACATTTATATAGGTAATTATGAGAATTGTTTTGTTTATTATAAGATCATTTTTCTGATTTTGATAATCATATTACATTGAATTTTAAGATGTTGTGTTGTGCCATATTTATCACGAATTGATTTTGGTGATTACATTTGTACTTACAACTAATATAGTTTTAAGTACAAATGTAATCACA